TGGGCGGGGGCGTGGGGAGGGTGTCGAGATCGAGATCGAGAGAGAGAGAGGGTGGTCGTCGATGGTGTGCTACTGTTACGGAAACGGGGCCGTTCTTAGACGAGCAATCCTTTTTTTGGCCACTCAGTCTCGTACCCGCACGTACGTGTCTTTTCTTTGGGCTTCTCATGTGGGACCCTTAAGCCAGACATAGAAGTCCGGGTGGTTTGTGGGTAAGGCAGCAACGGGGTGCCGAAGTCCGATTCCAGGAAACAGTCTCATTTGCCTCGTGCTGTAACCCGTTTCATCTTCCTCCGTTCCCGTTATCATGCGAAAATTAAAGCGCCCTATACCAAACCAACGATTTAAAGAATGCTGTTGACCACTTAACAACTTACAATCTAAATTATATATATATAGAAGGTCAAAAATATTATATTAAATTTTGAAGGGACAGCGATCTGTTTTGCTTCTTGGATGCCGAATTGCTGTGGTCAAAGGCTTCGTTTTATTATATGACTCACATTATGGACATTTTTCACACCGATCGTAGCTCAAGCCAACTATAACCAAAAGTCAACCATCGCATCGCATCACAAGTGGTCCTGACTGTGATCATGCCTCGTGCGGTTGACTTGGTCTTCGCTGACACGGCAAGCCAAGTCAACGCCAGGATCATCGTAACCACATTAAACAGGATAGAAGGGTATTCTCGTCCCTTCCCACCATCATATCCGTCCAAAATGCTTTAGGATTTGCGTACGGATCAGGTTTCGGCGATCAGCACACATGTACGATAACTTCAGCCCGTTCTATGTTTGTATTTTCATTTCGAGCACTTCCCGTTTCTTCTAAATGCACGGTCGAAGCCGCGTTTTCCTGCTCCGCCGTATCCACTTCAAAGACAGCGACCGCCCTCGCCAACTCTCCTGCCAAACGAGCCCGCCGCCGCTCCCGCCAGATTCAAACCTCAAACCCCTCTGCCTCCAAGGTCGACTCCACGAGGCGCTGTCGGGAATGGCTACGCTCGGCACCGAGGTCAGGTTCCACGGGTACGACGCCCTCCTGACCGCGTGCATCGACCGAAGGGCCTTCCTAGAGGGCCAATTGGTCCACGCCCACATGATCAAGTCCCAGTACCTCCCTTCCGTGTACCTCGCCACCCGGCTGCTCATCATGTATGTGAAGTGCGACTCCTTGAACGACGCTCGCCACATGCTCGAGGCAATGCCTGAAAGGAACGTTGTCTCGTGGACCGCCATGATCTCAGGATATTCTCAGAAGGGTCACCGCGCTGAGGCCTTGGAGCTGTTTGTTAAGATGATGGAAGCCGGTAAAGCTGAATATTGTTACTTTCTATTGCATCATAATTATATTTGAATCTTCAGTTTGGGTAATTCCAATCATCTAGGTATCTATCACCTGAACCATTCAACACATTTATGGCAGGATAACATAGAGAAGGAACATGTTCCACAGACTCAAGAGCTTGATGTTCTTGACAACCTTTACAAGTTTGAGTTATTACTACTTTAAAAAACATGTATTTGGGTGCGATGCTTGATCTGTTCAAATGAACAGCTATTACATGTTCTCATAAATGATTTTACACATCATCTTATATCAAAGTTGTTTATATTAGTGATAGTAAAATCCATTAGTTGTAAATGGACCTATTTTTGTTTATAATAATTTGTGTCTATAACTCATAACAGATAAAGAGGGAAATTGCAGCTGCATCAGTTTCCTATCTTCTAAGTAGCTTACAATGTTTAAGTTGATTTCCAGATGAATCTATCAAGATTTAGGGAACAGCTCAGTGAGAACATTTAAATTACCATCTTATATATGATATCATTCTTTAGACATAATATCATAAGCTCTTCAGGACACAATGATTTGTTGTGATATAAAGCATAGAGAAGATATGCTTTTCTTCTCTTTCGTAAGGACCTTTTTCTTTTAGAATTACAGAGGGAGTAATTGGTGATGTAGTACTATACTCCTGTGTACCAAGAGAATTAACTACCTCAAATGCTTAAGGCAGCACCTTGATGGAGATTTGTACCAAGAACCTTTTCAAGGTGAAGAGCGGAATCAACCACTGCACCAATTCCCGGTTGATCTCTTTAGTAAAAACCATAATCTTGTGTTGCTTTGTAGCTTACAGAGCATCAACATTACTTCTATTGGATCTTTTGTTTTCTGTGTTCCCTGCTGACTTATTCCCAAAATAAGGATAGAAGAACTGGGAAAATCCAAATGACTAGAGTCAAAATACATCAGATGCTGCTATATTGAATCTTTATCCCATGGCATGAATTCACAGGTCAATTGCCAGATGAATACACTTTCGCTACGGTGCTCACTTCTTGTACTGGTCCTTTTGGGCCTAAACATGGCAGGCAGATTCATTCCCTAGCACTCAAGACCAACTTTGACTCTCATATGTTTGTTGGGAGTTCACTGCTTGACATGTATGCAAAGGCCAGCGAAATCGATGATGCTCGGAGAGTCTTTGACATGTTGCCTGACAGGGATGTTGTTTCTTGTACTGCCATTATTTCTGGATATGCCCAGTTGGGTCTTGATGCGGAAGCCTTGGAAGTGTTCAAATTACTACATAAAGAGGGAATGGAATGCAACTACGTTACCTTTTCCTGTCTTTTAAATGCACTCTCTGGACTTGCTGCTTTGGATTATGGTCGACAAGTGCATGGCTTGGTAATCAGATGTGAACTTCCATTTTATGTTGTCTTGCAAAACTCTCTGATTGACATGTATTCCAAGTGTGGTAGCTTAATATATTCAAGAAAAATCTTTGACAACATGCTTGAGAGATCTGTGATAAGTTGGAATGCAATGCTTGCAGGATATGGTAAGCATGGTTTAGGGAGTGAGGTTGTTCGTCTCTTTAAGTCCATGGTCCAAGAGGTGAGGCCTGATGGTGTTTCTTTTTTGGCTGTCCTGTCTGGGTGCAGTCACGGTGGATTGGTTGATGAGGGTTTAGATTTTTTTGACTTTATGGTTAATGGTCAAAGGATGAAACCAGATATAGGGCACTATGGATGCGTCATAGATCTACTCGGACGTGCTGGGAGAATAGAGAAGGCTTTGGACTTAATGAAGTGCATGCCCTTTGAACCAACCACAGCCATGTGGGGTTCTCTTCTGGGTGCATGTAGAGTTCATGCTAATGTTTCCATCGGAGAATTTGTTGCTCAAAAGCTTCTCGATATTGAGCCAGAAAATTCAGGGAACTTTGTGATACTCTCTAATATTTATGCTGCTGCCGGAAGATGGCAAGATGTCGCCAGAGTCAGGGAATTGATGAAAGAGAGGACAGTGACAAAAGAACCAGGCAGAAGTTGGATCAATCTTGACAAAACCATGCATACTTTCTATTCCAGTGATCGGTCGCATCCCCAGAGGGAACAGATAAATGCCAAGATTATGGAGGTATATGAAAGGATCAAAGAAGCAGGTTATGTTCCAGACCTTAGCTGTGTATTGCATGATGTGGATGATGAGCAGAAGGAAAGCATGCTGCTTGGGCATAGTGAGAAACTGGCAATAGCTTTTGGGTTGATGGGCAGTACCCCTTGCAAGTTGATTCGTATTACAAAGAACCTTCGGATCTGTGTTGATTGTCACAATTTTGCCAAGTATGTGTCAAAGGTATATGCAAGATATATATCTCTGAGGGATAGCAACCGATTCCACCTAATTGTCAGAGGGACTTGTACCTGTAGAGACTACTGGTGATTAAGCAATTCTTCTACTTATCTATATCATTGGAACTAGCATTGCCGAATCTTCCTTTTCAGGATTTATATCCTCTATCGGATGTTCTGCACATTGGTTTACTGCTGAAGCCATACAGATAAGCAAATGGAATTCATGTGGGCTCTGCCTCCTGGTTATAAGCTATCATTGGCTTTACTGCCTCATGTATTCATTCGGCTTCTGTCAATTCATAATTATAAGGTAAGGATGTCTGTTCAGAATCCAAATTTCATATTGTTGTGTTATATATATCTCTGACAAAAAAAAAGGGCCAAAATCTAATGCACTGACGTCTTGCTATCTGTTTTTTCAAAAGGATGTGGTGAAGTAAACCAGAATATTATTCTCAAAAGTGTTGAATCCATTTCTGTGATTGAATACAGAAAAAGAAAGTGGATCTCCTTAGTTCAACCGGAATGGGTCAATTCAATGATACAACTTTATTTTGGCAGGACATGGAGAAGTAAACCAGAGTATGGCAGGATGGCTTTCTCTTTTTGTCTTGTTACTTCACACACAGTTGGTATTTGGAAGGTGAGTGAATGTGTTGAGGCACGAAGAGCAGCAACTCTATTTTCCTACATTCTCAATCACTAAAGATGTGTGAATCGAAATTTATATTGTATTCTACTTTGCAACTGCAGCCGTGGCAATCCGTGCTACGGACAAAGTAGCAGTTCTCTATTTCATTCAGGCTCGGTTCTTCCACCGGATGTTCTTCCTTTTGGCACAGGTAATTTTGCTGTTCTTTTAGCTGACAACAGATCCTATTAGTTAGCGTGTGGCAGCTGAAGTTGGCAACAAAGCTTAGTAGACCTTATGTTTAGTAAAGTACACGACGGTTCTTACAGATTGGGAAGCTGTGTATGATTTGAGGATCCAATTGAAGCCAATAGAATCACGTCTTCTCCAGCAGGAACTGCATCAAATCAGGGACTTGTGGGAAGCAATGAAAAGCTAAAGCTACTCGTTATGGACCATCGACAAGCCATCACAAAGCACTCGCCCCCTTCCAGGGGAAAATGAGGGGCATCTACAGCAGCTGCATAGCGGAGAAAAAACAAGATACATGCACACATCTTGTCCACATCTCATTCGACAATAGTGAGACCAACAAGAGTAACGAAACATCAGTGAAATTGCCACCAAGAGACCATGTATCTTGTTAACAATTTCTGATGAACTATCTAATACCTTGTGGAGTATCAGCAAACCAAAAGAATGTATGTGTTCAATACAAGAGGGCCACATCTGCCATTGACAAATTACTGCACCATGCAGCAGGAACATGCACAACAAAGCAGAAAAGCATTACAGTAAAACTGCAATACAGAACGAGTAAACAGATGGTTCGATAATATCCTGTCTTTCCTGGAAAACCACACTACCATGCTGTCAATAGAGGATGACAAGCAGTGAGTGATCTGCATATTAACATAACAGGCAGTCTTAACTTGTTATAAGATGGAACAAAAGATTGGGCATTTCCATGCACTATCTGATTATTACTAGGATCGATAGACTTGTAACATAATAACCATGAAACTAAGTCACAAACCTAACTAAAGCATAACGTTGTACTCATCCACCATGCAAACCAGCACAAATTAAAGATTACACACCAGATCCAACATGCAAACCTTTTCCAATCAACAAGATAGAGGTTCTTGAGAGGCTGCAAGGATGCCCCATGCATCATTCCTCCAGCCATATATATAGGATCAAAGGACACCAACATCCAGCCAACTGACAGAAAAGGCATGATGATAACGTGGAGATCATCGGAACAGAGTTCATTAACCTTTAACCCATATCTCTAGATCTTATCAAGCTTTTCGGCCTTAATGACAGGGTTTGCTTTGGCAATTGCATCCTGGGCCGCCTTTCGGTAGTCGAATTGGCAGTCGTGCTTATCCGAGTAGCGGTGCACAGCACAGAAAAGGTTCCCACACCGACAACTGAAACCAGTCAGACCAACGCGTTTCCTGCAGGTGCCACACCTGTTTGGACCCTCCTTCGCCTTTGCCTCTCCGGCCTCGTTTGAGGCTAAAGCATCGGATGACTGTGCTGAAATCACTTTCGGCTCCATGGAGCCAACAGCAACAACAGCATTACCCGAAACGACAGGCTCTTTTCCACTGCCACTGCCATTGCCATTGCCATTCACGAGGCTGTCGATCGAGGATGCCGCCATCTTGGCCTGTTCCTGCTTGAGAATCATGTCCTTGTGGCACTTGGAGCACAAGTTCATGGTTGCGGCACTTCCGAAGAATCCACAGTTGTTGATGCAAAGGATTGGTCCTTCACGTGCTTGGCATCCGGTCTCATCGTGCTCCATTGCAAACTCTCCTGCATCACAGCAGAATAGGTTGAGAATAGGAAAAATCTTTTACATCTTGATTAAGATCTAATAAGTAATATATCTAAGAACTCTATTTGATTCGCGCAACCCATAACCCCAGTCTAACCTTCGCACACCAAACAAACAAAAAAGAACACAACTTTGCTCCAGAAGAAGATTAAACTAACAAATAAATACTTTGTTCCTAAGCTCTCGACAATTTTGCTTGGGATAAGAAAAAAATTGACATATAACACGAAGAAGAACAGAAGCCCACAGCAACCGCTGGGTATACCCTCAAACCAATTCCCAAACTCCTCGCGAACAGCTGAACTAACAAAAAGGGGCAGATTACACAAGTCAAATTCACATCTTTTTCATATTTAACGGAGTGGAAATCAATTATTGGGAATCTCTTGTATTTCTTGTTTGCAGATCCAAAGATCAGAGTCTAGGAAGGCATCTCTAGGAAAAATGAGCATCCAGGAAAAGTTCACGAGCACGGAATCATCCTTCTTCCATCGATTCGAAGTCCTTCTTCGTGATGAACAATAAAAAAGATACCCCAAAGATTAAAAGAAACAATTCATTTCAGCCAAAATTTTAAAACCTCGAACAATAAGGGGGAAAAAAAGTACCTTTTGGGATCAGCCCTCTTCGCGATTCGCCTGCGGCGATCTCCGCCAATCAAAACGCTCGACGATCCCTGCGCAGAGACGACAACAGAAGGCTTGTAAGCAAACGAAACGCAGATCCTCCACCGGACGAATTGAATATGGAATTAACCATCAAACCAGTGCAGATAAAGGGGCAGGGAATCGAAGTCCTAACCTTCAGCGGCCGGAAATCGCCTCGGAATCGTGGAATCGAGGGCTCCAGAAGGAGAGTTAAGGTGAGAGAGACCAGAATTGGAAAGGACAGAGGAGCCGAGGGGAGGAGGTATTTATTGCTTCGCTGGCCATCGTTGCGTACATGAGACGCCCCCTTCTTCGCCGTGCTTATCTTCCAATGCTCCGCACAGGAACCTCTATGCGCGGGGCCGCATTGGCCGACCGGAGTTTGCTGCGTTGCGACGGCGTCGCCCACCGCGCTGCTGCTGCTGCGTACGAGGGGATTCGACCCGCGGGCGCATGGGTGGCAGAAAGGTCGCGTCGCATACACCTCTCTATGGGCGTACGAAGTAGGCCAGCTTTAAAGCTGGCGCAGCCTACCTGTCTTGGCCGAGGCACCCATCAGCGAAGCAGCGATCTCCAGTGGCGGAGAGCCGCGGGACCCATAGAGAACAGCGATCGCAGCCAATGGAAAAGCGATCCGTCCTGTTTGCCTAGAGAAAGTAGCCCAAGTTTAAAGGTCGTGCAAATGAGGGCTCCACCATCTAATTCGGATAACCCAAAAAATAATTAGATTCAACAAAATAATAAATTATTGGCTTTTATTTTTCTTAAGTCATATAATGATTGATACAGATAATAAATAAATAAATAAAATGACCATATGATTGGTATCTAATTTTCCTTTTTTTTTCCATCAATATGGATGAATACACCATCCGGTAAATTGATATCCATTAGTCTGATATATTACCAAATTTGATATAATCAAGATTTAAAATCTTGACTAAAATAATGTTTAGGTAGTCTGATTAAGTCAGAATACTAATTCTATTCATTATCCGATTGGTTAGTGTATTAGTTCTTGTTCGAGTTCACGCGTCATGTTCATCATGTTGGGCCGTACTGGGCCAGTAATACATTGTTATCCACCGTTCTCTCTCTCTCTCTCTCTCTCTCTCTCTCTCTCTCTGAGCTCCTTTGTTGCCTGATTCTGAACTCGTACGCATGAAGAAAGGATGTCTTTATTCAACATGATTGCATGAAATAACACACAACGACAGAACGCAACCCAAACAACAGCAAGCAAACCGAGAACGACGCAAGCCAGACATGAAAGACTACAGAAAAGGAGATCAACAGACTGTTCAGCTTTAGTTGAAGTAGGAGACCACGAAGGAGAGGAGGGACGCCCCGACGAGGGCCGCCAGAGCAGGGACGGTTGCGAACGCGCCGCCCGTCGGGGGCGGAGGCGCTGCCTCAGGGGCGCCGTGGTGGTGGCCTTCGTGGGCTAACGCTGCCGTGGCGGAGGCAGCGGCGACGATGGCGACGCAGGCGAGGGTCTTCGTCTCCATGGATGGGGTGCCCTGTTCACGCCCGCAGTCACCTCTCTCTCTTTCTCTCTCTCGGCTCGTGCAGGCTTGAGATAGGAGACGAGACTATTGGTGCGGTGGGGGGGGTGCTTTATAGGGTAAGTCCGCTACTATTGCACATCTGTTTTTTGTTTTCTAAAACAGTTTTCGCGTGGAAAGTGTTTCGGAATCTAATTCTTAACATTTTTTGTGTTTATTAAAGGAGTTGACCAGAGAGGTCAACTCAGGTCGAGCTTTGTTGCGGAGAATACGACACTAACTCAGCCCAATTAACCCAAATTGCAATGCCAATATAGAATTAAGAGTGAAGTCATAGAATATATGTAAAGAGAGAAAAAGCTGGAGAGAGATGGAAGAGTGATTAGAATGGCCAGCTTGACATGGACAATTGCAAAGACCCTCTGCGTTGACTTTCTATTTCGTAGTACAACATGAAAGTACAATGTACCAGTACGTAAG